GTTGTAGGAAAAGAAGGGGAACTCTGGGGAGGAAGGAAGGCCAGGGTCCCAGGGTGGGGGCAGGGCCGAGCTGAGAAGGGGTGTGTGCCCTGCCCGCCCGCCCTGTGCCGCCCCCTCCATCTCCCCCGCCATCTCCCCGCCTCTCCTTGCAGTCCCAGACCCAGCCGGGCACAGGCCGGGCACGGCCCGATACAGAGTCCTGCACGCCGCGTTCTCCCCTACATGCTGTGTGGCCTTGGGTAGCTACTTAACCTCTCTGGTCTCAGGAGGCAATCAATCTCTGGACAGTGGGGGTAGGAACACGCCCTCAAGGGGGCACGTGAAGGTGAAAGGAGGTACTGGGACCGTGCAAAAAGCTCTGTGTCCGCAGATGCTATCAATAATGCCTGTTAGGCCCGGCCTGTGTGGCTCAGGGGTTGAGCATCGACCTGTGAACGAGGAGGTCAGGGTTGGATTCCCGGTCAGGGCACAGGCCCGGGTTGCAGGCTCCATCCCCAGTATGGGGGGTGCAGGAGGCAGCTGATCGGCGATTCTCTCTCATCATTACTGTCTCTCTCGCTTTCCCTCCTCCTTTCCTCGCTCTGAAATAAAAAAAAGGAAAAGAAGAAAAATGGGAATAACCCGGCCCCTCGATGGGGCTCCCAGGAGCGGCCGTGGGTGTTGGCCCTCTGGTGCCGTGTGGGGCGGGTCGCGCATCCTGTCTGGGGCCCGGGGTGAGTGCCGGTGTAAGAGCAGGACCCACCCAGTCCCATGGTCACCCCGGGTTACGGGGCGTGGGGCCCACTGGTTCTCTTGCTCTCTCTCTCTCTCTCCTGCCCGGCCACCTGGTCCCTGCCCTGGCCCCGCACGCCCGCTGGTGAGCGGTACCTGAGGGATTTTTGCTCTTGATGGGCTTGGGTGTCGTCGGGGATTTGGTGGGCGACATCTCGGGGTCGGCCTCGTCACTCTGGTTCGGGTCCGTGTCCGACTCCTCCCTCACGGAGACGTCGGAGCCCGGGAGGCGCGGGGACGGTCTGACGTCTCCCAGACGGTCCCCGATTTTTGGATTCGGGCCTGTAGTTCCGGATGAAACAGAATTCGTGTGGGGTTCTCCGTGGGGGAAGGGTGAGCGGCTCCCCTGGGCCCCTCCGCCCTTGCACGTGGGAGCGGGTGCTGTGACCTCCCGGCGGCTCTGCCGTGC